TCGCCAGGATGTGACGCTACGCGTCGCTCTGGCAACGGGACGTTGCCAGAGCGACGCGTAGCGTCACATCCTGGCGATGGCGGGTGCAACGTGTGTCGCCGTCCCCGCAGCAGATCCCCCGCTGCCACTTGGCAGCCCTACCGTGACCCTCAGTTTTTGTATCCCCCCCCCCCGGCCACTGGCAGAGGATGGGTAGGTAGAACTGCCAGATTCAGGTTGGAGAACTCTTGGAGATCTGGGAATGGAGCCTGGGGAAGACAGGGACCACCTCAGTGGGGTACAATGCCATAGGGCCCGCCCTCCAAAGCATCCTTTTCCCCCAGGGAAACTTATCTCTGTAGTCTGGAAATGAGCCGTAATTCTGGGGGATCCCCAGGCCCCACCTGGAGGCTGGCATCCCTACAAAAGGGCTCATACAGAGGATCTCCTTTTTAGGACACAGCACTAGCATTATCATTAGCACTAGAGAGATATGAGTGCTAATACCATCGTTATCAATAGTTAACACTGTACAAATGTAATGGAAGTTGCTCTGACAGCCTTGTTTCAGTAAAGATAGTGTAACAGAAGTGGTGTGGCGGATGGATCAGGATTCAAACCCACATTTAGTGATGAGGCTCACTTGAGTAGCCTTTAGACAAGTCTCCGGCTGTTCATCTAACCTGCCCCCGGGGGTTTGTGATGACCACCCGTCCTGCATGCTAGCCCTGATGCTTCTTAGGGGAAGAAAGAAATATAAATATGATAAAGCAATATCAGCAATATCGTTTCAAAGTGGAATGGGATGGAAACTACATCCGAAAGGTGCTTGAAGCAAATATACCAAAAGGCACACTATTATCATAGTAGTGCTGGTCATGAGTAAGTGGGAAGGGGGAAGATTTTTGGATTTCAGCAAACCCCAACAAACCCCAGTGAAAAACTGCTCTCCTGGTGACCAAAGTGCAAGGAAAAATTAAGCGTGTTCCTCTTGCACAAGAGCTCCTCCACATGACGGAACACTGTTATTGTCTGTACATGCACAATATGGCCCAGGCAGATGCACAGCCAGCTGCAGATTGCAGACATCTGGTCCTCCGGCACCACATATCACTACCCACTTACTATACTGGTATCACCACTACAAACCTGTTTCAGCCACGTGTTCTTTCTAAATCCCTTCTTGACACAGAAATATGGATTTTGATCTGGGATTTCAAAATGGAAAAAGGGAAAGTACTTAAGGAAATTTTTAGTGCTGCTTATTGTGTTGTCTGCCGTAAACAACTTTAGGTCTTGCTTTGGGGGAAAAGGCAGAGTGAAAGTATTTTTTCTTTTAAATTAGAAGGGATTGGGAGATGAGACAGAAGTTCCTCCTTGACCTTCTGGGCCTGATGAAGCAGCTTACCCTTCATGTAGAGATAGCTGTGAAAATAGGCCGGCCCTGATCCATTGAGCATGGTTACCCGGCCACCACAGAATTCTTCATCTGTGTCCATGTAAGCATCGCCTTCCTCCTCACTATCTAGGAACTAGGAGCAAAAGGAATCGTTACCTTATGGAAACAAAGCAGACACAATCTGGCAGACACAAATTTAGACTAGCCCCTCCCATGTGGTCAAATCACACGTCCTCTTCTACACGAGTGGGAGCCAGAAATGGAGCCCTGACTAGATGGGATGAGGGCTACGGCCAGAAGCTGGCTCCACCGTTGCCAATAAGTGCCTTTTACTCAGTCACAGAATTTTAAGAGTCTACTGCAATAATCCCCTGAAGTTCAAACCACCTCAGCTTCTGCACCTTGCCCCAACCTGATAACGGAATGCATCGGCAGGGGACAGAGCTGTTTTTGTACAGGAACATGCAAACCAACACTCAGCTAATCTTGCATCTCATGTTATGGTCTTCATAAGAACATAAGAACACAAGAGACGCCAATGTTGCATCAGGCCAAAGGCCCATCCAGTCCAACACTCTTCTGTGTCACACAGGGGCCAGAAATACCAGGGGCCCTCAGGAGGTCCAGCAGTGGGGCCAGGACATTAGAAGCCCTCCCTCATCCTCAATTCCTTCCTCAAAAGTTTCTGTTCACATACAGTTCCTTTGTCTGGTCATTACATGTGAACTTTAAGAAAATCAGAAAACATTGTCGGAACCAGTGTTCCCTCTAAGCTGAGTTAGTGTGAGCTAGCCCACAGTTTTTTAGCCTCCGGCTCACATATTTTTGGCATAGCTCAGGAAGGATGGCTACAGAGCAAACTAATTTATGCAGCAGCCAAATCATTCACTCACAACTTGAATGCCAGTAGCTCACAAAGCAGAGTTTTTTCAAACTCTGTCTCTAGTTTGCCATGAATTATGGGGGAAGGGAAATTCCTGAAGGGGTGTGTGAATGGCTGAGTGTGTGAACTGCTCTATCATAGGTGATGTAACTCTAAGATACCTCCCTTCTACCAGGGATGACCTCGAAGCCAAAGCTGTGCCTGCTTCGCTGTCTTAGATAAGGAATTCATGTACTCACAGGTGGTGGGGGGATGTAGAAGCGCGAAAGCCAGGCAGGTCGATTACAGAATGTGATTGGATACTTGAAGGGGGGGGACATCATTTGAACTGGGGGACTCCACCCCGGAGGACCTTCATCGGGCATTACAGGCCGTGGCTGGTTGGCTCAGACTGAGTCCGCTGAAACTAAACCCGGCAAAGACGGAGGTCCTGGGCCTGAGTCGGATCGGCTCGAGGTTGGGGCTCCCTCTCCCAACCTTCGACGGGGCGCCTTTGGTGCCAGCGTCGGAGGTTAGGAGTTTGGGTGAGCTCCTGGACTCCTCCTTAACAATGGAGGCCCAGGTGGCAGCCACTGCCAAGTCAGCCTTTTATCATCTTCGGCTGGTGCGGCAGTTGGTTCCTTTCCTCGACCGAGATGACCTGGCTACAGTGATCCATGCGACGGTCACCTCGAGGCTAGACTACTGTAACGCTCTCTACATGGGGCTGCCTTTGTCGCAAATTCGGAAGCTGCAGCTAGTGCAGAATGCTGCAGCCAGGCTGTTGATGGGTCTTACTAGACGGGATCACATCCGGCTTGTGCTGAAATCGCTGCACTGGCTGCCAATGGCATACCGGATTCGCTTCAAACTGCTGGTTTTAACAATAAAAGCCCTATATGGTCAGGGTCCGGCTTACCTTAGGGACCGCCTCTCCCCGCATGTTCCCCCAAGGGCACTACGGTTGGGGAACCAAAATCTCCTGGACATTCCAGGCCCCAGAAACATCAAACATGTGGTTACCAGGGCCAGGGCGTTTTTGGTGGCGGCTCCTACAAGGTGGAATGAGCTCCCAGAAGAGATCCGGGCCCTGTGGGACTTGGTGCAGTTACGCAGGGCCTGTAAAACGGAGCTCTTCCGCCAGGCTTTCGAATAGGGGCCGCCGCCACCATCATTACGCCATCATCATTACGTCACCATTGTTACCATCATTCCATCTGCGTCCCCCTCTTTATTCCCGCAAATTGACCATCTTCAGAGCAGGTACTATTGGGGGCGCGAGACGTTCCTGGCAGAGGACAACGCTGTAGGGATGTATACTATTGCTGCTATATATTGTTATTACTGTTGCTTTTATTCTAGTATAAATAATTTTAGAACCCCATCTTGAATTTCATAGTTAACTATTTTTGGAGCACTGTAAAGTAATTTTTAGCAAACTGTATTTATTGTATTTTATACTATTCTGTATTGTTTTAGTGTCTTAACCTGGGCATCCGTGCCCCTTGTGAGCCGCCCTGAGCCTTCGGGGAGGGCGGGATATACACTCAAGGATAAAATAAATAAATAAAAACTGTCTATATCTTTGGGTTCTCCCGCCAGATCCTCAGTTTTGACACGGTGCAGGTCTGGCCCGGAACATGATTATTTCTCCATAAACAAACCACTGCTAGAGAGTGTTGTTGAGAGTAACTTTGTCCAGGAGTCTGACCAATTTTTGCTCACAAGACTCCACAGCTTAGAGGGAGCACTGGACTCCAGCAGCAGATCATGTGAAAGGAATCTGGTGTGCAGATGGGCAGCGCAAAGGGGGGGGGGAAATCAGGCATTCTTTGTTTCTCACCACTTATGGAGAAGTGAGACTGCCTTTACAGCAGGCCAAAAATGAACAGAGCTGCATCCTGCTTTGACAGCCTGTTTGTTAAAAGCACAATGGAACCGACTCTCTTCCCACGGACGCCCATTACGTTGTTTGAGAAGCTGGGTCTGGGTCGCCCACATTTATACAGCAGCTGTGGGCAATGCCGTTTCTAAAGTCCTCAGGAGTCCTTTGGTGCAGGGGGGGGGCAGGCTGTGCAGCTCCCGCCTTCCCCTCTGTGCCATTTCCCCAAGCTGAAACAGCCTGGGGTGGGGGAGTAATTTGCCCAGCTTCAGAGCTGCCTGCACACAGGAGACTCCATCAGAACAAGTTGTTTGGCCTTCAAACACACACAAGCATAGTACAGTTGCAAATAAAGTACTCCCAAGCTCCTTATCATGCCTGCACGAGCCCCCCCCATCAGTCTTCTCTCTCCTGACAGGCGAAGGCACTCCTGTCCCTTTGGGCACTTGTTGTACACGCCTGCTTAGCTATGCTCTGCACATTAATGTCAGCTCCTGGGAGAAGCCTGCTGCCCTCCCAACATCCTCAGGTAGCTAGTGAAAGTGCTCCTGACGGGATCCCTGAGTGGTCTGTGCGCAGGCAGCCCCTCTTGCCCCAGTTTTAGAAAGCCACATACAAACAATCGCATGGAAAAAGGTCTGAATAGACTGAGAGACCTATTTAAACAAACAGCTGCTTCCAGGACCCTTAATGTCTAGAAATCATTATAAACGGGATAAACATTGCAAAGACTCACATCAACATGGCTATCTTTCCTGTCCCTGATATAACTGGAAAAATAAACAGTGTTGACAATAGTTGGGCTCACGGATGTGATACAGAAAGCGTGATGAAGAAATGGATTACCTCCCTGATATATTTCTTCGACAAGAGACCAGAGGAGAGAAACACCAAGAGGGACAGGCTTCTGGCAAGTAAGAAGGGGATATGTACGGGGTGGGGGTGGGGACGACATGGCTGCTTGCAAGAACCTCCAAGGAAGTGGCCGTGCGTTAATTAGAAGGACAGCTAGGAAGAGGGCTACAGTTATGGCACTTCATTTTTGTTTTTAAAGGAAAAAGGATAAAATATTTCATAGAAGGGTTGTTGTTTTTTTAGTGTTCCCCCAAATTTCTCGATTTTTCCATTGGAAAACTGAAAGAAGTGAAAAAGTACTCAGAAAAAAATGGGAGGAACCCCCCCCCCCCGGGGGGGGGGGGTTTGGTGGTGGGGGCTTTTGTGACGCACGTGTGCCTGGCCAACCTCCACCGCAAACCGACTGCCACAGACTTGGCTCGGGCTCAGGCATCACCACCCATCCTGCTCATCGCATCCAACATGGGAACAGCTAGTCACTAGCAGCACAACCCAAACCCACGAGGAGTTGTGTGCACCTTTCTTTTGCCATAAGGTGTTTTACCATCTATATTTTAAAGGTGGAATTTCTTCTTTAATCTTGAAATGGGAGCTTTTTTCGTAATCTGGGTTTTTTTTATTGTTCTTAGACTCTTAAGCATTGATAAACATGTTGCCAGTTCAGATACACTTTGAAGGGGCTGCTGTAACATAATCTTTATGTTAATGTATTTCACCATATTTATGTTTCCCCCCCCCCAAGGTCTCTCCAGCCCACAGGAAATGTACAGGTGCTCCCTGGGGGGGGGGGCACAGGATGCTAGAGCTGGGGAGGGGTTGGCTTGACAATGGAGACCGCTGTTTCCGGCAATGGTAGGGATTATTTGCCATTCTTGAAAAATACAACTTTCCAAAACAAAAACACTACTTTAAGGGAAGTTGTACAGAACAAGCTGGAAATGTGCACATTTATAGCATTAGAACAGGCAACTGTGCAAGTAGGCCCTTAGCATTTCATGGGCAAGCACAGCATGGTAGGAAATAATGCTACAGATGGGTAAGGCAACCAACAGATTAAAGGGACTGGGCCGGCCAGCATGTGTGATGTAAGAAGTGGCACTGTTCCAGAATCAATTCTGGGACATATTTTATTCACTATTTTTGTTAGCAGCCTGGGAAATCAAAATAGTAGCATGCTGATTAAATGGGCCAGTGACACCAATGTGGGAAATTGCTGCTATATCATAAGAACTGGAAAGTTATGAAAAATGGCCTGGATGATCCCACAGATGGGAGTAACAGAAATAGGTTAATAAGTGTGATGAAATAACACCAGCTGTGATTTTGAGCTGACGACTTTCTGTGGTCTCAGGACTGCAGGCAGAGATGTGTTACGGCACTTTTATCCCCAAGGAGCAAATTAACTAGCAACAAAAGAGCATATGGAGATGCCAAAAGACTCAGGAAAGATGAAGAAAGGAATGCTTCCCACTTAAAAGTAAAAATAAAAGTTCTCACCGAGTCCAAACTCCCAGGGTTGGAGTCCATGCCATTGCTGTGGGAATTGTGCAAGACCTTGCCCCCATTTAGGGGCTGGGCGGAAGTGCTGCCAATGCCTCCATTGCCATCAAATTCTTCATGGTCATAGTCGGACTCCACATCTGGAGGCAAGCTGTAAATTGGATCTTCCCCATCCCCATTGTCACCAGGCAGGATTTCAGAGACGGTGTGGTAAATGCTTTCCATGTGCTGTTTCTCAGGACTTATAGGTCTCTCTGTAGAAAAAACCAGAGAGTTGCCCTCTCCTCCTTCGCCCTTCATAAGAAATGGCACACTTGGAGATGTGTGCTCCTCCTCTGAATAGTAATTATCACTGGTTCTGGCGCTGCCTTGGTTCAACAGGCTTGGGCTGGGGACAGGTGGCCCCTCTTCGTCAGCAAGAAAACCTTCATCCTCTTTCTTCTTCAGCCAGAGGAGCCACAAGACTGTACTCAATGTTGAGGGTTCCTTCATTGGAAAGAGAACACTCCAGACCTTGCACGCTCTTGTCCAGGTTTCCAAAGTCAAGCAGCTCCAAGAATTCCTGCGCCACCCGGGAAGCCTCCTTCTCCAGCCTCTGAATCTCCTCTTCCCGCTGGCGCTTTATCTCGTTCTTGGTATTTTCACAGGCAATGGAAACACGGTCTGCCTTCTGCTGCCACTGCAATTTCTCAATCTCCCTTTCTAGCCTCAGGATCTCCTCCATCTGACGCTGTTCCTCTTCTTGCAATGGTTGGCCTTCTTCTTGAGTCCTGAACACCTCCACCTGGAAGAAATGGTATTAAGTAAAGCATTCAACAGCATTCGCTTCAGTGATGAATCAACAGGTCTAATAAATCAGAAGATGCCCCACCGATGAATGTCTGACTCACTCTACTTCCTTAAATTTCAACATTCCTTCTAACTGTTCTAAGGCTGGAGATACATGATCATATTTTGCTCCCAAAAGCTGAAGATGGTCTAAAAGAGGATCAGTGTTTGTGTCAAACTCGTTCTCTAGTTTGCCATGATCTGTAAGGGGAAGTAAACTCTTGAGGGGTGTGTGAGTGGCTGAGTGTATGAACTGCTCTATCATAGGCGACGTACTTTTCTCAAGATACCTCCCTTGACCAGGGACAACCTCGAAGCCAAGCTGTGCCTGCTTTGCTGTTTTAGATAAGGGGTCCATATATTCACAGGTGGTGGGGGGGGTGTAGGAGTGCGAAAGCTAGGCGGGATGTTTGCGGAGTGTGATTGGATGTACTTGGAGGGTTTAGTTTGAACCATCTATATCTGTGGATTCTCCCGCCAGAACCCCAGTTCTGACACAGTACTGGTCTGGCCTGGGACATGACTATTTCTCAATAAACAAATCACAGCCAGAGAGTGTTGTTGAGAGTAACTTTGTCCAGGAGTCTGACAGTTTGCAGCGTCTACATTCATCCATTTCTCTCCTCTAGAACATGAATTTTTGTGGGTGTTTGTACTGTTTCAAAATCGTATTTGACCAGAGGTGATACTGGGGCAAAAGAAATGACACAGTAGTCTTTCAGACTACTTTAAACTCTTTTAAAAACTATTGTTTATTTCACTGCTATTTTGTTGTATTAAGAATCTTTGCTGCTACACTGAATTGTTTCATAATATTTTGTACTCCATTTGCTAATCAACTGAAGTCTTTCTCAGACCTGCAATCTGCCCAACCCCACTGCTTAGCTCTGTTTTAATAAGAATCGTTGTTGCTAGATTCAAATGTTTTTATCATACTTGGTCATTCACTTGCTGACTGAGTGAACAGTTCTTATCATATCTGTAATCCGCCTTGAGCCCCAGTGAGAAAGGCAGACCATAAATGCAGCTAGAGGATCTACCTGAGCCGAAAATACACCTGAAAAGTACCTTATTGGTTTCTTGGCATCCCAATTGTATCCAGGTTTTCTCAGGAAAACAACACAAACAAAAAATCCCAATAAAATCCTGGATATATTGAAGAATTGCCAGTAGAACCGAAAACAGCAAGAGGCAGGCGCTGCGTGAGAAATCTACCCAGGATCAGCTGTGCCCGAGGGGCATAGCTTCTGGTGTGCGATCCCCCCCCCCTCCATTTTTTCATTCTTGGGTCTATTGGACCCAGAAAAAAAATGTGGTATACTGCACAGGTATTGGGATCTGGGATTTTCTGGGAAACCCCGTTATTTTTTCCTGTTCAATATACCCAAACCGGGGGGGGGGGTGTGTTAAAAAATGCACACCCACAAATGAAGCTAATAGAAACAAGAGAAGGGCTAGACTGATCTTGTCAGCTCTCGGAAGCTAAGCAGGGTTGGCCCTGGCTAATATTTGGATGGGAGGCCTCCAAGGAATACCAGGGTTTTGACACAGAGGCAAGCAATGGCAGGCAATGGCAAACCACCTCTGAAGGCCTCTTGTCTTGAAAACCCTACGGGGTCACCAGCTGTGACCTGATGGCGCTTTCCTCCTCCACCTCCATCCTAAATAACAATATGTGGCAATGGAGCCGACGATGAGTGACCGGATAAGTCACTCTATAAAGGAACCATATGCAAATAAGTCCACTTATAGAAAGAAACACGTGCTGTGCATGTTTAGTTAAGTGCTCTTTTTGCTCAGGCCTCTGGATGGAAGGAAGCAAGAGTGGCAAGGTATCATATCTAAACTGATGGTATCAGCAAAGCAATATAACATGGGAATGCATCCCACAAACCATGCCCTGAAGGCCTAACTACATTACACTTTTCCTGGTCTTCCTCAGGTCTCTGTGATCTAATGTGTGATGCAAGTTCTGTGCTGGGAATCTAATTCCCAAGCATGTGTGGGCTCAAATTGGAGAGAAAAGGGTCATGCCTTCCCTTCCTAAACTGTTTTCTCACCTGGAATTGCCCCTTTGAGAAAACCTACACGTGCCCCATCAGTACACATGTTGTTACCAACAGAGCAAATTGTGGCCCCCAAAGGGGAGCTATTTCAGGTCAGGAAAATGGTATGGGAAAACACTCCCCCCACCCCCCGGGTGTGCTGTGGCCCCAATCCAAGTCAGGCCCCACGTACTCATGGAACTGAGTTCAGAGCATGGAATTTACAACACGCGTTTCACCATGAGGAACCCAAGGGAAATCATGCTGTTTAGTTAGGTTATTATTATTATTAAAAGGAACGCAGCTGCAAATATGTTCTTGTCTTCTGTTGCTGAGCCCTGAAAGAAAAGACACAACAAATGAGAACCTACCTGCGCCATCTGCAGTCTGGCTTCCAGCTGCTCTTTTCCTCTGCTCAAAAAAGAACAAAAAAAACACCCCCTCCATCAATAACTCGCACAGTCCAGCGTGCCAGAGGTTGCATGAGGGGGGTTATGGGACACTTGCACCCTCCCCCTGTCCTGCTTTGCTCTGCCTTTCCACACAGAGGGGATTGGGAGCGCTGTGATGGGGGGGGCGTGACAATGGGGCACTGACCGCCCCCCCCAGCCCGTTTGTCACTTCTGTCAACACCCTGCACGAGAAAGAGCCGCTGCTAAAAAGACCAGGCTTGTGATATGATTTTGTGTTTGCTACTTCTGATATCAATGAAGTCTTTAATTGTACTTAAATTTAATTGTAATGGTATCTCAGTTGCCCATATACGAGACTAGTTAAAAATTAAGTGAGCCACAACAAAACTCCTAAACCAAGGGGATTCGTTATATTGCACCAGACTGAAGGACTGGGTGTTCAGAAAGTTCTTTGGATCAACAACAACAAAATATGCATATTTCATTCCACACAGCATGCAAAGTCTCTTTGGCTGTGATCATCCCAAAGAGACTGGACCAAATCAGGTTTGGGAAATATCACAGCAAAACAGGGGAAGACACAGCTCTTCCTGCATCTCATCTGGTTTGGTTCTCAGACCCCCCTCACAGACTCCAGGTATGCCCATAAAGGTATCATTTCAGGGACTGGGTATAGTATTTCAGCGCCTCTAAAGTGAACTTCAGTGATGTTCCTTGGCTTGCAGAAACCATCATGGGAACACACCAGGTTGTGCAGCTGGCACAGCTATATTTCTTCGCAGAGCACAAGAGTGTTCCAGGAAAGGGGGTCCGGAACTAGTGGTATCACACCAACCCAGGAGCACAGACAGCTGCCATCTGGATGATATAGAGCTATGTATATCCCACAATTCCACAGATGTGGAATTTGGTACTGGCTTGGGGAGTGAAGCTGGGCTCAAAAATGTACGGAGAGACCCTGGAGGAGGGGGGAAGGGTGATTTCTAGGACTTCAGAGCTCTGCATGGCTCTTTGTCCCTTCCCCTGACTTTGCAGAGTTGTGATTATGCAGAAATGTCTTGCAAAATGTAGTAGGTAAGACCCCCTTTGAGCATCATCTGGTTATATAGATTTTGTTTTTTTAAGTGCTGTGTACTCACAGCACTTCATATCATCAGCAGGCTGCCGAAGGCCTAGTTTTCACATACAGCAGATGGTAAAGCCGGGTTTGGACAGCACCATTTCAGTCTGCAGGTGTGGCTCAAACAATTGAATACCCCCCCATGGTGGTGGTGGGGGAATCAAACACATATCAAGGAGAAGGCTAAACTACCATACTTCTTCCTGCCAGTCTGTTTTTTATGTTCCTGGAATTGCTTTCATGTGAAAGAGTCCTCGGTCATGCAAACTGCCACCTGCAGACTGAAGTGGCACAGCCCAAATTCAGATTTAGCATCACAGCTGCTCTTTGAAAGAACTGTGTCTCAGAAATAGAGCTGCCTTGTACCGTTTCTCCTCCTCCTCCTCCTGCTTCATCTTATGCTCCCTCTCTTCTTGCCATTGTCTTTCCTCTTCCTCCTTTTTAATCCTCTCTTCCTCCTGCCGCCTCTGCTCCTCGGCTTCCTGCCTCTGCCTCTGCTCTTCCTGTAACAGGTGTTGATAGAGGCTTCGTGCCAGCTGTCCACGCCAGTGCTTCTGTAGAACAATGGCAGCGGCCTTCAGACGCAGGAGGGACTTCTTCCAGAAGTGAGCACGGTAATTCTTCTGGATGATTACAGCACTTGCAAGGACCCTTTGGTATCTCTTTCTGAATCAAAAGGAGGAAGATGGAGGTTACGCTCAATCAGCAGTCAGCCCTCACCAGCGCTTCCCGAGAATCTGCCTTGACATGGTCTGAGTCACATGGCATCAAGCACAACCACAGCCACTCTCTCTCTCAAAAAAGGGTTTCCCGCCCCCATCCTTTCCCTTGCGTCTGTCACCCACCTGTTTTCTTAATTTTGAGAGCATTCTAGGCTTCTTTCTCTTAGAAGAGAAGAAGAAGAGAAGAAGAGATTGGATTTATACCCCGCCCTTCACTACCCAAAGGTGTCTCAGAGCGACTCACAAACTCCTTTCCCTCCCCCTCCCCACAACAGACACCCTGTGAGGTGGGTGGAGCTGAGAGAGCTCTTGACAGAAACTGCTCTTTTCCAAGGACAGCTCTTATCTGAGCTAAGGCTTGCCCAAGGCCATCCAGCCAGGTGCAAGTGGAGGAGTGGGGAATCAAACCCGGTTCTCCCAGATTAGAGTCCGCGCACTTAACCACTACACCAAACTCAGCAGAGAAAAGTGCAAGAACTTTGAGGTGACAAAAGACATGCTTGTCCGTCGAAAAGATTTTTCTATGAAGCAAGACCACTTTGGATTGTACCTGCAGAAGTAATCACACCATATTCGAGACATAAAGGCAAAGATTGGTTGCCGTATAAAGATATTTTGAAAAAAGAAGGAAAAGACTTTGTGATGAAAAAGAGAGAGGAGCTAGACTTTGATTATGATTGGCTAAATTATGCACAAATTGTCGATTTATTTAGAATTGATAAAAAACGATAAGGAAAAAAATGAAATTGAGGGAGTATGGGAGGCAAAAGGAAAGAAAATGATATCAAATTTATATAAAGTCCTGTTAAAATGGTTTACTGAAGATGAGTCAGTTAAAGAACAAATGCTTAAATGGGCTGTAAACATGAATAAGGAGGTGACTATGTCATCTTGGGAATATTTGTGGAAAAATTCTATTAAAATATCAACATGTACAAATGTTAAAGAAAATTGTTATAAAATGATGTATAGGTGGTACATGACTCCAAAGAAAATAGCAAATATTAATGTAAACATGTCTAACAAATGCTGGAAATGTAAAAAAAGAGGGCTCTTTTTATCACATGTGGTGGACTTATGACAAAGCTGTGAGTTTTTGGACAGAAATTCACGAAGAAATGCAAAAAATTTTGAAATGTAATTTTAAGAAAGAACCAGAGATACTACTTCTAGGTCTTAAGATGAAGGAAGTTAATGTAGAAAAAAAGACACTGCTATGGTATTTAATTACCAGGGCAAGAATGATTTATGCTCAATGCTGGAAACAGGAGAAAATACCGGATAAATGGGAATGGATACAAAAAGTTCTATATATGGCAGAAATGGATAAATTAACGAAAAAGTTGAACAATAAAGAAGATAAAGACTTTTTTGAGGAGTGGAAAGATTTTAAAGAATATTTAGAAAGAAACTGGGATGTTAAAAACACTATATTGTATTTAGAAAATTATTAGAGTTGAAATTTAGAAATTTTTGAACTGTAAGAGAGATAGTTACCTTGAAATATAAATATGTTTGGGGGCAGGGGGAAGCATTGCGGGAAGCCAACCAAAGGGGGGAGGGAGGTAATGTGTGAAATGGATATGAAGAGGGAATGTTTTTTAAATGTTGAACATGTAAATCCAAAATAAAATTTTTTTGAAAAAAAAAGAAAAATGGACAAACATGTCTCATTGCAAACAAACACAATGAGCTTTACAGTGTGAAAAATGACAGTGATGCTTTGATGTCAGATTGTGAAGCTAAATGTTATTCTGATGCTAATGTACCAGAGGAGATGGACCACACAGTCAATCCCAGAGAATCCTACTCACAGGACAAATGCATTTACCTTTGGCATCATCGCCTAGGACATGCAAATTCACAAGCCATTAAAGAGATGGAAAGGAGAGAGTTGACGCGTGGAACTGATCTTGTGGAATGCAACCAAGCTAACTGTGCCTGTTGCATCCTAGCTAAGAGCACAAGAAAATCCTTTCCAAAGCAGGAACCATTTGAGCTCATTCACTCAGATGTGGTTGGGCCTCTGCAGACACCCACCATTGGGGGGTACAGATACTTTGTCAATACGAGGGAGCCACATGACAAAAAATGGCACATTTTCCCATCCATCCATCCACTGAGGGTAATTTTAGGCCTTGGCTCTCTTCTAACATCTGTCTAAATCACTATAGACATTTCTGTGCAGTCACGCTGCTCGCCAGCCTAAAATACAAAGATTAATGGGCAGTGGGGTTGGAGCTCATCTGCCTAGAAGCCATGGTCCCCTCAGCACAGATACACAGTCAGGGCTTTATTAGACAGACATGCCCAGCAGCACTACCTTTCTCCATAGCCAACCTGCAGGGATAGAGAAATGCAGGAAATAACTGGGTTCTAGGTTCCAAAATCAACATTCCTGGCAATCGAGAGCTAGTTCTTTCATCTGTGTATGATATGACTCTCTGTTGCTAGGACAAGGAATCCAGCTGGCTGACATCCCCGTTAAGGGGGAATCAAACTGAAGAACTGGTAGGTATTAATTCACATTAATATTTTTGTAGGACAGTGGCAATACGTGGACAAGATGTGTACAAGGAATTCAGAGACAGCTGCAGTTTAACAAAGGTATCCATGTGAGAAACAAGAAACACTTTGCTGTTTCATCGAACCTATTCATAGTGCTACATAAAATGTCAAGCAGTTTAAGAGAAGCAACTATCAGGGCACCATGTAATCTGCAAATCTGTGACCCTAACCCAAAGAAATGGGGGGGGGTTTGTTTTGTTTTTTGACACAGATTTACAGCAGTTGACATTCCAGAGATAAGCTTGAAAGCGTGTGCACAAATCCTGACGAGGCCTCAGGATTGAGCAGGATGGCACTGAAAGGCTGGTTTTAAAGAGCTGAAGACATCTGCTCAGAAGGCTCTTCAGAAGCCAGAGCAGGGTTTCCTTCAGCCAGGGCCTCAAGGGTAGATATGGCCCGAGAGACTATAGTGCAGGGAGCCCTAAAAGCACCATCCCACTTCCTGAATAGACAATCTGTGACTCATTTATAGTATCCCAACATCTGCGGCCAGAGCTAGCTTAACAGCAGATCTGGCTCTGCTTTGGTCTCCGATCCTTTTTCTCTAAGCAGAAGCAAATTGGATTATTCAAAATAGACAGTTGTACGCAAATACTTGTCTAATATAATCAGATTACAGAATTCAGAGGTTTTTGGCCACTGGATATCAGTTCTCAGTGCAATTTTTTAAAACTTGCAGAATACATCCTTCCATAATGGCCCCCCTCAAAACACAGGAAGAATCCAGCAAATCTGAAGCAAAAGGGCTTTTCACAATTTAGAAATTCCATGTCTGCCACTGTAGTATAGCTCTATCTGGAATATTTGCATAGTTTGCTTCACCATGACTATGCAGTATGTTGAAGCCCCACCTGCTGGAAATTCTGCTCACCCCCCACCCTGCCTTCTCCCAACCAATGATTTCATACCAGGGCACTGCCCACGCACTTCCAAGTCTCCCTCTGTAATCTTAAAGAAGGCTAGACACTTGGTTTTTAAAAAAAAAAAAAAAATTAAAGAGGAGATCCTCAGAACATTTTGCATCCGGTGCCCAGTACCCGCTCCGGCACTGTCTGGTGCACACAACAGCCTGAGCGGCCCCGCTCCAGCAGCCCCAGTCTCCGCGGAAGGCAGGTGATTCCCTTAATGGGCAGGCAGAGCAATTTGCCAGAACAAGCCGAGACAGAGGCCCGCGCTGTGGAATATGGAGAGCGAACAGCAAACAGGCACGGACGAGGGAGCCCAGGCAGAAGACAGTGTGCAACGGCAAGAAGGATCCAGCTTGGTCGCAGGTCCTTTCTTTCTCTGGAGCCAGGAGTGTCCCCCAAGGAAGCAGGAACTAGAGCGGGAGTATCAGGAAGGAAGACCTTTCTGGGCCTTTGTGCTACTGTCAGGAGGCAGCAGTGAGAGCAATGAATGCTGAGAGCATGACAGGGAGAGGTAGGGATCTGCAGAGAACAGCTTCATGGGGGACGAGAAACACAGCAGCAGAGAGGGGCCGGGGAGGGAGAGACGGGACTCTGCAGGCAGTGGCCTGTTAGAAGGGCTCAGCTTTCGAGAGGGGAGGGGGAAGGAGAGCGCGGGGGG